TCATACTTTCTATATCCCTCTGAGGGACAGAAGGGTTTATACCCTGTCTTAACCTTCAGCTTCTCCCCTATACAGAAGGTCTCACCATGCAGGGAACAATGACAACATTTAAAATGCTCTTTGTCAAGGAAGATCTTTTTATCTTGGCAGAGTAATTGCGTCCGATAATTAATGTTAGAGCATTCCCTAAAGTTTCATCTTCAGATTGTCTTTTGACCTGCCTCTTAAACGGAAGTGAAATAAACTCATCCTGTGTAATTTGGTTAGTGGAGTTAAAATGTATTTGAGGACCCAGTACAATGAACAGAACTGAAAACTGTGATGCTTCCAAGATATCATGGGTCCATGAAAAGAGTAAGTATTTAGTAAGTACTTACCTAACTGTCCATATTGGAAAATTAGGGGACAGAAAAAATAGCATATCTGCAAGTACTAACAGAGCACCAGGAAGATGAGGGATAGAAGAGTATAATAAGAGTACGTTTGGGGCCAGTGAAAATCAATCCTTAAAGGAAGTGAAAGTCATGGACTAGTAGAGAAAAGCAGACAGGAAAGAAATCCATCTAACCTCCCAGCAGAGCTTACTGAAAGTGAGTAGAAGTACAAAGCAAGACATTAAATGTTTAGGATAGTAAGTAGAGAGATGGCAGGAATGTCAGTATTTGCTAGTGAAGCCACTGTGCAATGATGAAAGCATGACTAAATGGTGAACTTTGGATGCAACGCTGAAGACTTTGATATGAGAGATAATAAGTACGTGTGGTTCCTTGATGAGAAATGTCTTGATAAAAATAGTGTTTGTCAAGTATTATTCTAGAGCTTAGAGGAGAAAAACCAATTGAGATTTATTAAAAAATCTGTACAAAAGGAAATTGCAAAGCTCCTTGTAACATTTTTCTATTAATTCATAATATCACAGACTTCCCTTTTGGGTGGACTGTATCAAGTTCTATATTATAAATGGAGGGGTATCACAACCAAGTGTTCTTTGTGTTTTCTCTGGGTTGCTAACTAAGGCACCGGCAAAACAAACAAACAAACAAACAAACAAACAATGTTACCATCATTCACCTTACTCACTTTGTACCTGGTCTGATTTTTGTTTTTGTCCTAAATGCATCATAGTAGCTATTTTCTAAAGCAGGCAATTCCATAGCATAACTGCATAGATAGAAGAAACAAATTAACTTATTAGTCCCCGGGAGAAACTAGAGGCAGGAAAAAGATGGAATGTCATCACTGGCTTAACTTAACACATAGTTGAATTTTAAGTTATATATCCATTGGCCATGTCCTGTATAGCTTCTCAGACCTAAAACAGATCTCATGGCTAAACTACGCTGTCCTAGTTTCTTGGTTATTTTACAGCTGTGCGTATATATGTATTTTTCTGTACTGAAAGCAGAGACTTGGAAACAGCCGGATAAAAGCCAGTCCTGTGTTGTACATGGCAGGAGAAGGAACACAGTAAACACAAACACAGCAGAGCATTTCCCTTTGTCGACAACCTTATTGTTTCCCCTTAATGCATTGTTTAGAATAGCAATTATGTGTCATTGCCCATTATCTTATAGACAAAACCAATACCATAGAGCCGTCGCTTTTCTTTCCAACAACTGATCATCATGAATATATAGAGGATTCGTGTGCTGGTGAAACATGTCAAGACTGACAGCTCAGAGCCCAAGAGCACGGTTGAAGCACAGAAGAGGTGTGTGGCCAGGCAGCTGGAGTGAAATCTCCCCTCTACCTTCTCATTTTTGCTTTCTTCGCTCTTCTCCCTCCTCTGGGTTGGGAGGGAGAGCAGCTTAGAAAGAACATCCCTTTTCGGGCTGTTTCCCTCTGCCAGAGAAGACTGGCTCCCTCTCAAGACGGCAAGCATTTGACCACTGCAAATAGCAGGAACATGTCAACTTGTTTTATTCACATCCCTCACTAGGGAATCAGAAAGCCAAAGACACACTGGTGATTTCCCTGGTTTTATGGATCTTGACTCCCCCCAGGCCTGCAACACATTTTTGGTTGGTGTGTTCACATTGTCCTGGCATCTGCAGTGTGGGAAACCTGAACTGAGAGCCAATAGCCCCACAGCTTCTCTCTATTAAAATGTGCAATTGGATTTCACATGTGTGTTTCTAACACCATTCAAGGCATAATTTACAGGCTACTATCTAGCCCCACAGCTGTTTTTCCATCCTGTAGACTTAGCTGTTTCTAGGAATCCACCATCCGGCTCCTTAGCAAAGTCTTCCTACTTTGGGCCTGCTTAGCCATTCTTGGCTATGCAAAACTATACAAAATCTATAATAAGGATTCAAGAAAATACTTACTGAATGAACAACTATTAACTACTCTTTCCACAGAATTATTCATTCATATGAATAGCCTTCTTTTTATTTACCTCATCTAATCAGCTTTTATGTCATCAAATTAAACTAATCACTGCTGATCCATTGATATAGGTCATTTATATACATTAAAAACAGTACAGGCCCAATGACTTCTGTGTAGGGCTCACTAAATAGTTATCACGCAGAGCTTTCAGTTACTATGTTCTCTCATAAGAAGAAAACTGAGAATCACTTTTATATATTGCAAATTATTTCCCTGTGCCTAAAAAAAACAGACTATCCATGTTATAGAGAGAGCTACTCAATATCACTTTGTTGTATTTCTGTGACAACCACCCCTCCCCACAGTCTATCCTCTAAGAATCTGAAATCACTCCCCAAACAGGTTAGGCCTGAGGCTTAGGGTTATGGTTAGTTCAAATGTAAGTGCTAATAATATCATCTAAACAATTGATTCTAAGTTGTCAGAGGGCCAGAAAAATCCTATACTCATTTCTGATTCTTCCGTGCATAGCAAAGTCCTCGGGAGAGAGCACAGGCTCAAGAATTTAACTGAACTCAACTCTTCTTAGTCTATGCAGAGGCTAACAATACACGCAGTGGGGTGGGTTTAAAGGATTCCCTTGACCTCTGACTGAGACCCACCTTTCAAGGAAGAAAGACAAAGGAAAAAGAAGGTATGACATTGAGAAAAACATCCCAGCGAAAGCCTTTGCTAGCAATGGCACTGAGATGAATCTGTTCCATTCAAACGGCTCCACAAATGTAGCTTCCATGTCAGATGAAAACAATTACTTAAAAATCACATTAATAAAGATCTTACAATGTGGGTCAAGTTAGATTTTGCCCTTCTGGTTGCAATATACCAACCCTTCCTGGTGAATAGAGTATTTCAGGTGAAAAGGGGACATTTTCTTTACCCTTCCACAGGTACTGTCACCCAGTCCTACATGTACGACTCTAAATTTTCCCAGAAGAAAAAAAAAAAAAACACCACAGGCTTCCCTCCACATTTTAAACTACTACACAGTAGCTAAGGAGATTGTGTGGTCACGTCGTCACAAGTTGTAGCCATCATAACAGGCCTTCTTTGTTAAACAGAAGTCCTTTAAGGCAGGGATACCGGTAAGGAGCTATAGTGTTGAACGCTATAAAGGATTTGCAAAGGAAAGACCACCAAGCTTCAAAAATGTTTTAAAAAGCAGCTTTTCATCTTAGGACTTACCATTTCATTTCCTCCCACAGGTGTCTGCTCACAGGCCTCATGAATAAACATTACTCATTTACTCTTTCGATAATCTGAGAATTAGACCATGTTGACAAGTTGGGCTGTCAGATCGTCAGGTTATCTGAAGAGTCTCTTGGTTTAAACACATACATTAAAAATAACCAAAATTCGTACTTGTTATAAATGGTCCCAAAGGCCAGAATTGCAACCAAAGGATGAAAAGTACAGAAATAAAACGGCCGTTTATTAAATACCTACTATGTGTGTCAGAAGCTGTATTAGGTATTTTACAGGTGTGTACCTTTTCTCACTAATCTCTGAAGATAATCGGTTGAGGTAGATATCACTATCCCCGATTTTACATATGGGAACAAGAAGCTAAGATTGCCCAGGGAAACGTGACCACCATTGGGAGAAGTGAGATTTCAAATCCAGGCTTTTGTTCGGCTTTCTTTCCAGTCCACTAAGCTCCTCCCAAGAATGTAACAGTAGACCTTGGCAGACAGTCGTTCCTTGACCTGGGAAGTACTCAAGCTGATGGTAGCTAACTGGCTCCCGCAGAAGGGACTCAAGAACTAGAAGGGGTTGGAAGAGAGCAGGTCTACCTCGAAGAATCTGCAGACTTCCTCTACTTCTTTTCCAAGTAGCTGATTCTGCAATCATTTGAGGTGAGATGAGAAATCAAAATAGGTCTGCTTCCTGGTCTTATAAAAACAATAAATAAACTATCCCTTTGCTTACTATGCCGCATCTGCAGGCCCCAAGGTCTGGACTCTCTTTCTCTACCCTACAGCTTTGGTCACACTGCTATCAAGGAGACCCTCGCCCTGGCTTCCTGTATTTCTTCTGAAACTCCAAAACTAAACAGTAACACACTCCTCCCAACTGATGCCTCCTTAGCATCCTTTAGCTGTAAGAAATCCCTATGTCACCCCTAAGGTATCACATGGCTCAATGAGACATACTTCCCCACTCATTCACCCTTTGCATTCCTACTTTGAATTTTGTGTCATTAATGTACATACCTGTCACCCCAAACACTTCACAGCACATCTTTTTTAGAACAAGACAGGATATAAAGAAAAACAAACAAATTGGCCTGGTATTCCATTCGCTTTCTTGCTTGAAACCACAGTGGAACGACTGAAAACTAATCCATCCCACCTGACTGTCTCTTTCCACCAGCAACACTCCCATGAGCGCTGACTTCCGTTTTCAGCGTGGCGTCACACAGATGCTCAACAAGTTCATTTCCCCTTCCCACTCCAACTTCTACACCATTTCAACCTTTTCACATTTCTTCCTTCACTTGAACCATCATGTTTTCACATAAGATTTTCCTCTAAAAAGAATGACTGGCAATGAATCCCAGCCCACCTCAACCCTGAGTGGTTAATTCCAGCTTGGAAGCCCATTTTTACCATTGGAGTCTTCCACTTCTTCAGCTGGGGTAGCTTTCTGGGAGGAGTGGTGGGAGTGTGAGGAGAGGAGACTGACGATCCGTGGCCTGGGAAGGGTCAGGGCTTTTCCGTGGACCTTGAGGGAGTGTTCCTTCAGCTGGCTGATTGTCATGGTGGAGAACGAGCACCAAGAACACTTGTAGGCATGCTCACCTGGAAGAGGATGGTGACAAGAAATAGAACAGGAAAAAGAGGGGAGAAGGGTATAAGGCCGGGGTGGAAACAAGATAACTCAGTTAACTCACGCTAGAGAAGCGCTTCTCAAGCTTCATGTTCTATGAACGAACCTCACAGACCAACAACCTGCCACAACCACAGTGCTCCTTTGGAGTGGAAACTCTTCCATGAGCTCCAGAATCTAGTGAACTGGTCCTTTTTCATTTTGGGCTCTACTTACAGGAGTGAAGCTATGAATTGATTCCCCAACAGGAAGTGAAACCCAACTGCCTATGATACCTCCTTTAGAAAAATTTCCAATCCCTTTTCCCCCTTCTCTACACTAGAAATGACCATGTCAGGTTTCATTCAAGGTTGCCTTTTTGTCAGTCACAGAAAATAGTATGCTTAATTATTATTCCAATGATCTATTAGTGGCTTTTTAATCACAAAGTCATTCAGTGCAACCTCTGCTGTGCTATTCTATTCTGTATTTCCTTGCTAACTATACACGTTCTCATTCCACATATATACATTTTTGGACCAGTTCACAAACCTCAGCACAGAACTCCATTTCCCTATCTAGTCAATAACACAGAAATGGGCAAAAATAAGTCATTTCTCTAAGGAAGGGAGCTGTATATGTAAACATGTGGGTTGAGGGGGTACAGTGTGTGTATATGTGTGTGTGTGTTTGTCTCCAATATTCTTCAATAAAGAGTGCCTCTCAGTAAAAATAAGCACTATTTTTTAAATTAGTTTTATGCCACTGAAATGTAACACAGATCACCATGACCAAATTAAGTTAGAATGGGATTTACCTTTGCCATATGTTACCTTTTAAATTAATTACATTTTAAGAACTAAGAGTGTGAAGTGGGCATGCTTAAATTGTTGGATATATACACACTGATAAGATCAATTCAGAAAGCCATTTTGCTTTTAAGAACAATAGACATAGAAATGCTCATGTTTCCAACCCAGTAATTCCATTTCAAAGAGTAATAAGAAGATATCCTTTAATAAATATAAAGCTTTACTTAGAAATATGCATCATTTATGCTTGAAAAAAGTATGAAATAACCTAAATTTACAACTACAAGGAAACAATTAAGTCAATCTTGGCATATCCTATTGATGATTTATTTTATTCAATTAAAATAAATTCTTGGAATTTATAAGAACATAAAAAATAAAAGTAAATACAAAGGCTAAATATATATATTCAATGACATTAGTATTACAACTGTTAAAAATAATTATAGAGAAAATGACTGAAAGGAAATATATGAAATGTTAACAATAGTGGTATTTAGATAACAAGATTATGAATGACTGTATTTCTTCTTTCATTTCCAAATTTTCTCTAATGAACATGTATTTTTTTTTTTTTTTTGAGACGGAGTCTGGCTCTGTCACCCAGGCTGAAGTGCAGTGGCCGGATCTCAGCTCACTGCAAGCTCCGCCTCCCGGGTTCACACCATTCTCCTGCCTCAGCCTCCCGAGTAGCTGGGACTACAGGCGCCCGCCACCTCGCCCGGCTAGTTTTTTTGTATTTTTTTTTTTAGTAGAGACAGGGTTTCACCGTGATAGCCAGGATGGTCTCGATCTCCTGACCTCGTGATCCGCCCGTCTCGGCCTCCCAAAGTGCTGGGATTACAGGCTTGAGCCACCGCGCCCGGCCATGAACATGTATTTTTAAAATTAATTTTTAAGGTGACATTTAAAAGTTAGAGAAGAAAGAAGAGAAAACAGAATCATAAAGTTTTGTGGACCAGTGAAAATGAACAGAGCTGTGGTCTAAGGATTAAAAGCAAGAAAAACAGGTATTGGAAGATCATTCTTTGCCCCTGCTTTTCCGAGATCATTACTTTCCTGCCACCATGAAAATTACTAAATGGGTTCACATGTGAAGTGAGTATAGCATCCAAGTTCTATAATTAAGCCTTCCTCTCACCACTGATGACCCTCAGAGCTTGCATTTCCAAAAAAGTCTTGAAGAAAACCACAGAAAAACTTGAATTGCTCAACATCACGAAGCACAAAGAAGGACAGAAGTTCAAAAAAGTCAGAGGACCCAACCAGGAATACCAGTCAGTTGTATCTCTTTAGGAGTTAGATCACAATGTTGAGTATGATGTTTACTTATATATATATATATATATATATGAGACAATATATAGAATACTACTGCCCTCTTTATTCTATTTTTTCATTTTTTTTAAATGCAAGCTTGGTTGTGTGAACCTTACTGGTGGCTGTGAGTTGCACGACCTGAGAGAGAATTCAAATCCAGATGTTTGGGTTAGCACACATAACTTTTTCTTCTTTAAAATAAAATAATCCACCTAGAACAGACAAGATGAGTCAAGAGTCTTTTAGAAAATGTACTGGCGTTTTCGAAGCCAAGCCCCGCTCAGTCGCTCAAAGCAATGTCATGGAGGCCAAGGTTCCAAGGTATGTCAAGAACTGAATTACATTGCTCCCAATCTCTCTTACTGGATGCACTCTTCTTGCCAGCCAGTGAGCACAGGGAGCCAGTTTGCTGGGTCAGCTCCAAGAGCAGACACTTCAGCTTAATATGCTGGCATCAGTGTGCAGGCTCTGATGCTCTCTTCAAGTCTTTCCCACAGGCGGAATCATCTCTTCCCAGCTCTCGCTGGTAAAAGTGCTTTTGACGAGGCTAAGGCCTAGGGGCAAAACTCACCAGGATAGTGTCCCAGCTGGATAATTTACAATATACACAAGTTAGAAAAGAGTGATTTGAACCCTGAAGCCACTCACTTCATGGACTTTAGTAGAAATTTCCCAGAGACAGAAAAATACAAAAAGATAGAGAAAAGCCCCTATAGCTAACTTCCCTGTCCCATTCCTGACTCCTAGTAGAGTTTGGGGCAGCTGGGAGCCCTGGGCAATTTTATTGCATTAAGTCAGTTCAACAAAATCCAACACTCAGAAGATAGTGAAGAGACATGGTCCTGTTTACACAGAGTATGAGGAGCTAGCAAAAGTGAAGGACTTAGGTTCTGAGCGGTTCTTACAATACTGTTCAGAGTGTGACCAAGGGTTATACAAGGCACAAGGGATGTGGCACGATGTCTCCCTTTTAGGACTATTGTAGGACCAAAGAAGATGATGCATATAACATGCCTAGTGCAGAGCCTGGTGGGTAAGGGATGTTCATGACACATCAGACGTCAACAACAGTGGTCTTCAGATAAGATTATAGATGACTGACTGTGTTTCTTCTTTCATTTCCCAATTTTTTCTAATGAATAATGAGATGGAACAACAATATGATAGAGACCAGTACAGCTCCTGGACACTCACCACCCAGTCATTTTCTATCTTATGTACGGAAACGTATCTAAGGGTATCTTTGAAAAATCTCACACACCTTGAGTTCCCTTTGCCCTTTCTAACTTCCTTAAGTTGTTAACTTTATTTTAGCTGGGAAGTCTTTTTAGTACATATAACGATTCTTGGCAATAGCATTAGAAAGTATAGGCAATTTAGAAATTTCTGTAAAAATCGCCAACAGTCTAATTCTAACCTGTTAGTAGCACGAACAAACTAACTATAACATGGGTGACATAGGCTTTGTATTATTTTGGATTTAGGTGATTTTGTTTAACTTTTACTTTTTTCTTTATTTTTTCTTTACTAGGTGAAAATAAAACTGAATATACATCCATCCCAAGAATAACATTCTCAAGTGTAAGGCAGGACAGTATTTCACTCAATAAAGACCATCAGGTTTCAAACTCAGAGAGCGCTAAAGAACTTGTGCATCATCAGTGCACAACTCACCAGCATGAGCTTTGAGTATATGTGTTTTCAGCCGGCTGTTATAGGAGGACTTGAAGGAGCAGAGTTTGCATCGGAATGGTTTATGGTGTCCGTGGTGCGTTTGCATATGGCGATCCAAACTTGATGTAGAAAGGAAACAAAAAGAAAAATGACAAAATTAAAAATTGCATAGAGGATTTGCTCATTGCCTTTTTTCCAGGAATCCTACTTTTAGGTCGTTCAAAGCCTTTTTGTTTACTTTTCAATAATGGCATTTATCAATTTAATTAATTAATTTTCAAGAGTTGTACCTACTCTAAGAGGACAGGAAGCTAAAGGAAGAGATCAAGAGATATTTTTTTTGGACTTAGAGATATGGCAGTGGTAACAGGTCATGGTAAGAATCTTTATTGTCCCTTCTTATAGCTCTGATAATTGGAAGAGTGTATCTAAAAAGAGAAGGTACAATATGGGTGAATTCAAGCTTCCTGCCAAGCCAGTGAGAGTGCCTATCAATTAGTCCTCTAACTTATTCAAATAACAGAATGGGAATTAGAGAAATTTAGCATTTGAAAAGAGCTGACTTTCTTTTTGAATTCTAATTCTACTTTCATTGTGAACACTAGAGTGAGGAAGGGAGGTTTCGAAGTGGCTGACCTTCTTGCAATGGGCTGTCTTGTTTCCAGGGTCTATATTAATTTGGAGGCAAAGTGCATGCATGTTTAAAGGAGTCACATGGTCAAAAGGCTGCACATCCCTTCTGATACACACAGTCATGTTTGCTGTAAGTCTTCCAGAAGCAACTTACAAGGGAGTTATTTAATTACAACGAACCCCTAGTACTTCATAATAATTATTAGCCTAAAAAAATAATAAATCTACCAAACAAGGTGTGGGAAGAAGTTCTAATTTGTATCAGTACTCCAGAGAACTAAAATCCATTCTAAATGCCTCATGTGGGAACGGTACTGCTACCATTTCAACATATAATGCTCTCCTGAGCTCCAAAGCAACATTTTCAATTGCCCCTGGACAGCTCCCTCTGGGTGTCCTTTAGTTATCTTTAACTCAACCTGTTCTAAACAAACCCATCAGAGAGTTGTCTACAAAACAAATTCTCTTCTTCATTTCCTTGTTTCTATAAACGGCACTAACCTTTCTCCCAGTTGAGTAAACTGAAAACCTAGGTGCCATCTGTATTTTACTCTGTCCCTCATCTCATGCATTGAATCAATTTTTCCAAGTCAGGCAAATCCATTCCTTCAATCATTCCGTAACTTCTTGAACTAGCTACTTAGCTACTATTATTGCTTCTTAATTCCTTGTCCCCAGCCCCCATGTTTTTTCTTTTCTTTTCTTTTTTTTTTTTTTTTCATCTCAAGAGCACACACTATGGAGTCAGACTACCTGGGATAAAATCTCAGCCATTACTTATAGGTTGAGTGACCTTGGGCAAATTACTTAATTTTTCTAGGCTTTACTTTTCTTATTCATAAGATGATAATAATGGGGCCATACCTTAATGGAGCGTTTGAGAATGAAATTAAGTAATACTTAAAGGCACTTAGTACAGTGCCTGGTATACAGTGAGATGCAATAAATGTTACCAATTATAATTATTTTACTAATTTGACTCTTCCTTTTACCAGTAATTTAAATTATGAAATACTATTTCCTGGCATTTAAAACTCCAAATGTGTCTCCTTTAAAGTATTTAGACCTTATCTTTCACTATTCCTTTACATGTAACTTAAGGATTAGTCAAACTGAACTCCCAGCTAGGGCCCCAGTCAGCTTCATGGTCTCCTCCCTCAGCTTTTCCTCTACATCTTATGTACTTTCCAAACTACTCAAGTCCTATTTTTCTACTTTAAGACTTGACCCAAATGCTCCTTACTCCATAAAACCTTCCTGACTCTTCCAAAGTTGACGTAACATTTCCCTTCTTTGACACATTATAGTATTTTACTGGTATTTTCAAAGACGTGCTTTATTTTACTGAGTCAGTGGGGGTTTTTTTTTTTTTTAAAATTTTCATAAACCAACCCTTGACCCTAAATTCCCTTGGGCCACAGACCATGGCTTGTGTCTTTATATTTCCCCAAAGTACACTACCTAGGACAGGATACATTCATTTATTCACAATTATTTACTGAAGTTCCACTGTGTGTCAGACAAAGTGATAGATGCTGTTCAATAAATACTTCATGAATTGAAGAGAACCCTACAAGTTTTATGCCAATGTATGGATCTGATAACAAAGATTAGATATTAGGCTCCGACTCCGTCTCAAACAAAATAAAAATAAAAATAAAAATAAAAATAAAGTGTTTACAACCCATCCTAACCTCTGTGAAACCACCACCTCCTTCTTCTGTTCAACAACCACTAACTGGCCCTTTATCTTTTGTAAGAAGCAAACGGTCCATCATTTATTTCATTAAAAAATTTGTTTTAAAAAGCATGTCAGTCTTAGTCACCTTTATCCAAGACTGTCCAAATGCATTATTGAATATTTATCTCTCTTTTATATGGCTGAAAGAGAAAGGCAACAAAAAGTTGTTCTTAAAACCACCCCTCTTTCCATGGCCCCAAAAAGCCTTACACACTTGTTCCAAATTTACACTTTCAAAGCTGTGATGAGTAATGGGAAGCTCCCTCCCCTCAATCTCCCTGTATGTCAAGCAACTCTTTGGCATCCATGAACTTCTTTACCTTTCAAGGTCTCTTGAAAAATTGCAAGCAACGTTTCTTTGGTCACATGGGTTAACAGTCCTAATTTTACCTCTTTCGCAAATCAGTTTTCCAAATGGACTTTACTTCCTCAAACAATGACTAGATTTTGACTGAATGTTTGACAGATGAATCAGGAGACTCATCTACTCTCCACAGCTGCATTTTTCCTTTGGGTAAATCATAGCGATTCCTCCAATTCTCATTTTTAAAATGCCTGCATTTGCCAGATCTAATGCCATCCGATCAATCTCCTGTTCTCAGGCCCATTTTACAGAAAAGGTGACTGAGGCTCCAGGTAACAGAGCAGGAGGTGTGAACCATGAGTGGGGCCTTCTTACTCATTCAAGCTTCTGCTTTAGCTTAGTGCCTTCCACTATGACATCTTCCCCCAGTAACCACTAGTGACCCCCCAATAGCACTTACTTGTGCCTGAAAGCAGAAACAAAGGAGCAATACTGGCAGCTGTACTTGTCCTCGCGGGTAAACATGGCCAGGGCCAGGTGGCTCCTCTCATGAGAACGCAGCCCCTGCATGGACATCAGGACTCTGTCACATTGACTGCAATGGTATCCCCCCGGCCGGGTTTCATCCTCCAACATTCCATCAAGCAAGCAGTGTTCACCATCCACCCGGCCCACCAGGGCGCCACTGGCGTCTTTGGCTGCTTCCAATCCATCCAGGAACAAGTGGGCAGGGTCATCCGCCTCCTGCTAAGAGAACCACACACACACACATGCCCCACCAACAAAATAAATATCCATCATCATTGCCCCCAGCTTTCTTTTTCTCCCTTCATTCTCCCAAACTCAACAGCACTTCTTGTCAAAGCTTCCTCCCCTGCCTCTCCAGCTACCTTTAGAGGGAGAGCAAGCCCAACTGTCATTCCTCACGCAGTGGAGGTGATTTTAGAACAACATACCCGGACACAGGTTGCTACTGTTTGCGAAATGTGAACAAGGGCTTCTCCCGCTCTGAAGACACTTCACTCACTTCTTCCCCTTCGTAAAAGAAAATTCCAACTGCAATCCCATCTAAGATGACATAAAATTGGGCTAGGGTTGTGGCTCACAGAAAAGAGAGGAAGAAAGGAAGAGAACGAAAAGCAAAGTAGTATGGTCATTGAGGAGCCTTGGGCCATTATCTGGAAAGGAAGCAAAGCAAAAGATCCTGCTGTCTGCCCCCTACCCTGTAGATGGTGACTTCACTCTATGACTGGAGACTGCTGCATAATCAATTCAAAAAATTAAGGAGCAGCCTAGTTTTAAGTCACCTGTTTTTCGAGATAGTTCCTTAGGTTACTGATTACATGGGAAAAGCCCTTCTGTCTCTCTCACGTGATCCCAGGAAACGAGCCTGGGACACACCGCAGTGGTGTGTGAAAGACGCTGACTGCTGATATCCCTGGGTTGCCACTGTTCTGCCAAAAGACAGAAAGCTTCAGTCTTCAATGAAGAAAAGTAGAGACTTTATCTTCATGTTAAATTGGCAAAATAGGATGTAAGCTCAAGAAGGGCAGATGACAAAAATATATTTGCGTGTACCCAGAGAGAAAGGGCAGAACCCTGAAACGACTTCTGTTTTAATAAATAATAGGGCTGAGCAATATTCTGGAAGATGGGGATGGTGGCTTAGTTACTGACGTGGTGGCTGCTATTAGGATTATGATGTTCAAAACAGGTGGCCTAATAAAAGTTAGAGGGAAAAGGGAAGACATTTGTCAGCATCATATGGGAGAGGGGATGGAGGAGACAAACCAAGGCTTTCAGGGTCAGTTGTGACTTGAATGCTTTTAGTTTTAACGTCTTTTGCAGTCCCCAGAGGATCCAGGATAAGAAGACAAAGAGATTCTCCTAGGCTTTCTGCATCCTCAGCCAGATGAGAACAGTAAGAAGTCAGGAAGAAAGAGGAGCAGAAGACGATGGGAACAGAACCCACTTGATTCCTCTCAAGAGCTCGGGCAACTTGGAAGAACGAAGAGCTAATGGCACTAAACGCAGAAGAGAAGGACGACCTGAAGCCTCCTAGACCGAGAATCCTGGACCTTCTGTTGCCACCAAACTATCCACGTGGAAGGAAACCAGATCGAAACTCGACCTTTCCCTGAACAGAAAGATGAGGAAGGTCCAACCTGCAAAGAAATCAAAACAAGCCAAACCAATCCAAGTATAATTCAGGAATGCCCACATTCTGAGATGCTCTTTCCTGAGCTGCTTTAGGCAATGGGGTTAGTAAGTAACTCGAATCGCTCACACACAAGAATGCTCATCCAGACCTTCCAGTTCTCACCTTCACGGCAGCTGACACAGCTGGGACATTGCCATACTGGACGTGCTTTCGGAGGTGATTGCAGATGGCTCGGAGCGTTGGGTGCACTTCCACACAGAATTTACATTTGTAGCCCACCACTTTCCTCTCCTTGATCTTTGGCACCTCTTCTAAGTGACCAAAAGGCTGGTAAAATACAGTGGTAGCCATCAGTACTCCGAGCCCTCCCTCAATTGTCGGAATTTATTCTTGCAGTTTATTAACATATTTTATTTTAAAGCCGATTATCAGGTTAAAAACCAAGGGAGATATAGGCGAGTATTTTTATATAACAAATTTGTCAGCATCGTGGCACGCTGCCTACTATGCAAAGTCTTTGGAACCCAAATACGTTACGGCTTGTGAGTAGAGAAGATTTCTGTGCAGAAGCTCATTGTCACTGCCACTAAGTTATCTGGTTTTCAAACCAGTTTCAACTAGGCAGGTGAAACGTTGCATAGTTGCGCCATTAATGAACTTCTTGATAAAATAAAATCTACTCCTGGAGACGTCAGGTTCGTGTAGCAAACACTGAAGACCAAGACATGGCTGAGAAGTGCTAATGGTACCAAGAGACAGCCCACACTGCCTTAGGAAAGAGCGAGCGTTGTTGTAAAACTAGGCTTCAGATAAAGCTACTTGGCAGAAAGACATACATAGAAACCACCCCAAACCTCCCCTGGGGAGCCATGGGAGGAGTCAAAGGGAAGGAGGGAGGGGAACGGGACCAAGGAGAGGGATGAGCACAGAATGGGAGATAATCAAGCTCGAAATGTTTAATTGACTTATTGAGCTCTCTGGCAAGCTAAGTCACTAGGAAGCCTGCAGCAGTTTGGCTGGCAACGAAGAAGTGCATGTGGGCACCAGTGATGAGAGGCCTCCTGGGGGAAGGGAAATCAAAACATATCCTTACCCTCTCTTGTTTGAAATCTGCAAAAGCACCATCTGCATATTTCTGCTTGCTCAAAAGCTGTTTCCTCCTCTCCTGACGTTTGGCACGCTTCTGGAATTCCTCATTGTGAATGTTCAAGTGTGAGGTCAGCTCGGCTGTGCTTTGCAGTTTGCTATCACAGTGCTTACACTGGTAGGTGGAGTTCTGTAAGCGGGGGCCGTTGCCCAGAATGATGAAGTCCCTCTTTAGGTCCCGACTGTGGTGGTCAGTGTAATGCATGCACAGCAGCTCTGCGGTGCTAAAGGACAGCTTGAAGCATTTGATGCAGCGGAACGGGAGCCACTCGATTTCCTGAGCTTCACCCTCCACCTCGGCTTTCTCAAAGCTGCTTCTCTCCTCTTCTTCCATCAGCGTGGGCTTCTCATGCTCATCTGCATAGACGGCCGTGAAGTAGCCCCCCAACTTGCTGGCGTGCTGCTTCTTTGGGAACACCCCTGGGTGGCGTTTCATGTAATGCGACACAATGCCCTTCTTGCTGAACGACTGGAAAGAGCACAAGGAGCACTTTTTCTTCTCCACTGCCCGCCGGAGTTCCTCGCTCAGCTGAGGGGAGTCGTCCTTGGGCGGGGATGGGATGATCACTTTGTTGGGCTTGTCGCTGATGGTCCTAGAGGCTGCCAGGCAGTGAGTGTAATACGCATCAATGTCGTGGCGCTTCTGGTAGTGGGCTGCCAGACCTTTGCGGATGGGGTTGGTGTAGGCACACAGGGCACACTTGAAGAGGTTGTTCTTGCCTTCCGGCTGGGCTCGGACATTATTGTGCTTGATGCGGTAGTGCCTGGCGATCCCCTTCCTCGTGGAGCAGAAGTACTTGCAGAGCTGGCACCGGAACACAGTGTGGGAGACCAGGTGGGAGGTAGAGAAGTGAGAAGTGGACACGGGCTCCTCTCCCACCTCCTCCTCAGTGATAGAGACTTGGGAGGGGCTCACTTCAGTGGTCATCTCAGGCTCAAGGGGGACTGGCAGCTTCGGGGGCGACTGGGAAAAGACATCAAATTCAGGCTGATTGTGATACTTCTCGTAGTGGATTTTCAGTTTCTCCAAAGTGCCATGCGTGTACGGACACAGTTTGCACCGGTAGGCGCCATACCCTTGCTTGAAGATCCTGCTTGTCTCCTCCACGTCGTTCTGGGATATGTCAGCAGACTGCTCTACGTCGTGCACAAAGTCCTCAGCGGTCACCTTGATGGACGGATGTCGCTTCTGGTAGTGGGTCAGGACGCCGTGGATGCGGGTGTTGATGTATGGGCAATGCCTACATTTGTAGACGGCACCTGGGTTGATGTCAATGTCCTGGGCAAAGTCAGCAGCCTTCACTTTCATGCCAGGGTGCTTCTTCCCATAATGGGTGAGAAGACCGTGCAAGTTGTTATACTCAGATTGGCATACCGTGCACTGGTATGGGGTGGAGGATATGGCGGGGTTGGCTGAAGCTAGCTGCAGGCTTTTCTCAGGCGACAGTCTTGCATCCTCTGGACATTCAGCTTCCTGCTCCGGGAGAGGGGTGGGTATACTGTTTTCACAATTCACAGGGCCTGCCAATTCTTCGGATGAAAGAATGGGCTTCTCCACAGCATCTTTCTCCTTGATGATGTCCAACAGCACTGACTCATCACCATTCATGGCCCAGGGGTGGAACGCTTGGTAGTGATTAGTGATGTCCCAGATGGAGACAGCTTCAAAAACACAGTCCCTGCATCTGTAGGTTTTGGCTTCGGCTGGCATTGTGAGAGAGGGAGGGGAGGGGTCTGGCCCAGCCCACAGTTTAGTAGCCATGTAGGTGTAATCAACATAGTGTTCTGGATGCCTCCGTTGGTAATGCAGGAGCAAACCATTGGGCTCCGTATGGGAGTAAATGCACCACTCGCAGTGGTAGCCAGCTTCTATCAAGCCATCTAGAAATGCCCATCGCATGATGGACGTGACTGTGGCTTTCAGGGCGGGGTGGTCTTTCTTGATATGCTTCCTCAGTGCATAGAAGTAGGGGGAGGTATATGAGCACTGCCTACATTTGAGTGCTCGGAGTTTCGTTTTGTCCCGCTCTAGGTTAGAGGCAGAGACAAGCACGCAGCTGGCAGGCTTCTTCTGATTTCGGTCGCAGAGGCTTCGAATGGTGGCTGTATGCTGCCGGATCACATCTGCGTTGGCCTTGAAGTCCCGGTGCTTCTTCTGATAATGAATGAGTACCCCTTTGACCGTCCGGTTCCCATAATCACAGTGCTGGCAAAAGAACATCTCATTCTCCACAGGAGGGCCATCTCTCTCAGAACTGCTTCGGTTCAGCTGTTGCATGGGGGCGGGTGGCCGGGGGGAGCCTTGGGGCCCTTCGACCCCTCTCATCATTGCAGCTGTGGGAGGAGCCTGTCTGATATATTTGGCAGTAACCTTTATTTCTGGGTGTCTTTTCTGGTAGTGGACAAGCACTCCCACAACTGACCGATTGCTGTAGGAACAGTGTTTGCAGTAGTAAAGCTCAGTACTGAGGTCTGGTGGCGGGGGTTGTGGGGGGGGTGGGGAACCCATGTTGGACATTTTGGGAGACATTGGAGCACCCACCTCAAATGATAATTGAGAAAGGGCAGAGCCCCTGTCCACAGACACCATTCGCATAGTTTTCTGGATCCTAAAGTAGGAAGCCTTTTCTTCGGGGTGTTTCTTCTGATAATGAACCAAGACAGAATGCATGTTGGGGCTTGCAAACGAACAAACATCACAATCATAAACAACAACAGTGTTGACCAAAGGGTCCTTCTGATTTTCACATTCAGGAGTAAAGGTCTTGGAAGGAGTGTTTTTGTTGAACGTAGCTGGCAAACCACCACCACGAGCCACAGGCGTGGAAGTCGCCATGTTCTTGGGAGCTGAATTCAGAATCTCCCTCAGGGTCTGGGATTCTGTATTCAGCCCTTCCTGCTGCTCCACGACATAGCTTGAAAATATCATCGCGTTGTTGATCTTCACCGTGGGATGCATTCTTTGGTAATGTGGCATTAGGCTTCTAACATTCGGGCTCGTGTATGAACAAAACCGACACCGGTAGATCAGGTCCGAGTGATCAAAGTTGAGTACATTCATGGCTTCCGGGTGGTGTTCACCATAATGCTGCTGGAGATCTTCGAAGTTGGTGTAATCAATGTAGCATTCCAGGCACCTGTATACTGCACTGTGATCGTTGGGGTCCAAGATGTACCTAAAGCTGAATTTAATGTACGGGTGCATTCGTTGGTAGTGGGTGCTAACACTCCGGGCAGATTTGTTGTTAAAGTCACAGTGTTTACAATAGTAAAGCCTTCCAGAGTCACCAAAGTCTGTGTTTTCATTATTGTGCTCGGTCCCATAGATGGGAGTTTGGGTATTCAGCAGAGCAGTATTGGAAACTTGGTGATCTTTCAAGTTTGTTGAGGAGCCGTAATAATCCTCTTCATCTTCAGAAAGGGTGAGCTCAATCTCAGCCCCATTGGTGGCATTGTAATCGTGGGTGATGTTTCTGAAGTTGGGCTCCTTCTGGGGCTCACTGGTATCTCTTGCCCATATCTGTTGGGCAGAAAAGGAAGTGGGAACCTCTATGATGGGTTCTGTCGGCTCTTCCTCCCTGTCCAACTCAACTTCTATCTCGACTTCGTTGTCTTCCTCTTCCTCTTCATCATCCTCAACATTGATCACTGCATCTTCCTGCTGTTTAGTTTGGTTAATTTTGCTCTGAAGGTTGCTTGCTATCTCATCAATCCTGGTTCTCTTCTTCACGGGTGACAAATCTAGAGGAAAGTCATTGGCGAGCTTCCTAGAGGCCTTAGCTACAAAATTGTTCTTGGAGGACAACCCAAGAATTGAGGTCTGACTTTTCTTCACAGTGTTGCTGGAAGAGGGGTGGCTGTCTGTCTCATTTTCCAATGGTAGGCTTGAGGGCTGCCCCTCGAATTTTGGCAAGTTGTCACAGAATGAATGTTTATGCTGCTGATGGACTCTTAGCCCTTTCAGAGTTGTGGTGGAGTAATTACACATGGTGCATTTGTATGGGTGCAGAGGTGCGACTTGTGTGGGTGGCTGTGGCTGCTGCGTTGGTGGTGGCTGTGTTTGTGGCTGGGATGGCACCTGATGTGGTGGCTGCAGCTGTGGTGGCTGTGGCTGCTGCAGTGGCTGTGGTTGTGATGGTGGTGGTGGTGGTGGCGGTGGTGGTGGTTGCGGTGGCTGTTGCTGCTGCAAGGGATCCAACATGACTCCTGACTTTCTACCATTGATGCTTGAGCTCTCATAAGACACCATGCCTTCATTCAGTGAGGATGAAATGCTTTCACTCTGGGAATTCACAGCATCCCAATCTGACGTTGTACCCGTGTGACACTGTTTGTGAGCCCCAAGTTTCAACGAGCTCTTGCAAGTAAACGGACATTCGTCACATTTGTAGACAGCTGTCTTTCCAGATAAGTGGATATTTTCTATGTGACGAGAGATGCTACGTCGATGCATGGTGAGGAAAGGACAAAAGGGGCACTGGAACCTATTCATGAATCTTCTAAATGGAATCCCCTTGGTCTCCAATAATTTGTTGCCATCTGAGCCCATCAGCTGCTCTGCAGACAGGCCTGATGTCTGGTGATCCATAACACTTAAACCATTCTCACTGTCTATTTCATTTAACTCTTCATCAGAACTAGAGTCATTTAGCATGCTATTAGTTTCCAGGTCAGCAGAAGAATTGGTCATGTCAGTCATTCCATAACGGGATCTCTCTGCCAAGTTAACTAGACCAGAATTGTGAGGTGACTTCGGCTTCATCTGAGGGTAAGACATGGGCGAAAACTTGGAAGCTGAAGAAGAATTGGGTCTCATGATGGAGTTGCCCATGGAGCCCCTGAAGTTGGAGACGGTAGTATTGGGTATCTCCCGGCTTGCAGCATTCATGGTCAGATAGGTGGAGTTGGAAGTGGGGCTGGGGGCACTCTTGTTCGGCACATCAGGTAGATTAGTTCCTTCTTGTTGCTGTCTGAGACTGGAAAGGATCTTGACCATGCTGCGGTGTTTCTTCATCATGTGGTCACACCAGCGTTCTCGACGGGGGGTCTGGTAGCTGCACCACTCACAACAAAAGTTGCCTCGAGATTTGGTCAAAGGTTTGACCATAGACTCTAAGATGCTGCGCTCCACAACCTCTGCTGGCAGTTCCTTGCAGGGGTCCTGCAGGGATACGGGCGGAACCACAGGGTCTGGCATTGGAGCAGGAGCAGGCGGGGGAGCGGTGGTCTCCTTCAGATTGTTTTTGTGATACATCTTCTGATGCTTAATTATTCTTGCCCTTCTTGGTGACTTATATGTGCAAAACTGGCAAGAGAAGACCTTTCCAAATCCCTCGTGCATCATGATATTATAATTTAAGGATCCCGGGACAGGGGGTCCTGACGAACTCCCTTCAGCTTGAGCTCCATGGACCTTTCTAGTGTGTTCTATGAGGAGGTTTTTTGACCTGAAGTAGCGTACACAGAACTTGCATTGAAAAAACTTGTTTGTTGGTTTGGGATTAGCGGCAATATGATGACCATAATATCCTGGACTGTGGCCATAGTAACCTCCGGTCCCCAATGCAGTTGCATTTTGACCTAAAGAAAAAGCATAAGGAAAGTGACAAAGCAAAAGACAATTAAGATATCTAATCATGCAAATCAGTATCATTCCAATTATTCTTCATTACTAAACATCACATGCAAAAGGCCTGAAGTGTCAAGATGAGGCCTTGAAGAGTATTCACAAAGCATCAATGAAGATACCTGTACTGCACCTTCTCATGGATAAAGATGCAGGGTAAAGCTTTAGGTATTCTCCTCATCTCCATAAATGAGCCACACAGCTATAAAAATACAAGTTTCATAAATTGTACTACTTTTTCTAGAACTTTCCAAGCTACTACCTTGTTCTCTAAATTAAAAGGTAGGATATATGAGGAAGCTTTTGAAAGGATAACCATCTAAGATACTCAAGAAGAGATACATGATGCCCAAACCACAAAAATCGCTAGCAAAGCACAAGAAATTCTGCAAAAGCCACATATATTAAGAACCATGGCTATAGGCTAAAAGGAAACGAGCAATTAAAATACATCGGCTGTGCCAAGTTTAGTATAGATTTACCTGATAAATCTTCTGCAATGGCAAATTCATCCTTTATAGAAGAAAACTCCACCTCTGTCTGATTACTGGCATTCATGGACCCGCATCGTGGCTCATTCACATTGTCCTCAGCAACATCAGTTGGCTGCAGAAATGCCGTGTGGACATCCTGAATGTGTGCCTTGAGATCTTCATAAGATGGGGCTCTGAAATCACAGCCATCACACTGAAGCACCTCCATGATCTGAGTCTACCCTCTCACATTAGGAACCTGTGGCAGAAGTCAGAACAAAACATCTTAAGGAATGCACTAATCACATACCTCGAGCTGATGGGGCTATATATCCATTAATGGGAAAAAATTCCAGTATCAGTAGATTTCTTATTGGACTTTGCCAATTGGAACATTGGCTAAAGAGAGGCAATCAGACATAATGGAGATGATGTCCTTGACCTCATAATTTCAAAGAAGGAAAAACACCAGATAAACATTTTCTAGCATGATATGTCTTCCAATGCCATTTGTCAAGGAAACGTTTAGTACTTCAAAAGTTTTAGAAGTTTCTGAGCTTTTCCACTGAATCCAAATTTCTTGGTAACTTAATGTTGGCTTTGGCTCTGCCTTGGACTCATTTTCTTTTTAAATTGGAGCCATCTCAAAAGAAGAGGATGTCCACACAGAAGAAAGGGAAAATTTCAACCTTCATTAGCTGTTTATTTAGTTATTATTACCTTGGTGTTTTATCACCAAATAGTGAAATAGTATTTAAATCTTCAGAGTTGAGGTAGGGCATTTTTATTGTAGCTTTTCTTATTTTAATAACTTTGCTGATATTGGGGTGCACCTCTCTTTCCTCCCTTCTCCAAATAGTTTAGTTGTGGGTTTTTTTTTTTTTCCACGAGCTAAATGACTATTTGCTCTTTTACTACCTACCAATTATAACCTAACAGCTTCTTCAATCTAATTAGGTCATAAAATACTTCTCATGAGGTTTTCAAACAACCAACTTTGGATGACAATCCAGTTTCTGTTTAAAGTTGCACCTTGGCACCTCAATTTGCATGAAGACAACAGAAACTTGCATTTTTGAGGAAGGGCTTCTAAGTCATGACTTTATCTTTTTCCACTTCTTTCCTTTACAAACATGAAGTGCATACCTGGATGCAAAAAGCTGTGAACCTGCCATGGAATAAATCAAAACTTGCCCAGCTACTTTCATTCTGCTATTTACTGTGTGACTGAAATATACAGAAAGCTACACACTAACTCAATGGAGAGTCCCACCATCAAGAAGTCAAAAATATATTACAAAGGTGAAGTCCTTCCTATCTTAATGTATATTCTAGGTTGAGATACCTTGTTATTGTCTTAATGAGTAAGTTACTTCATTAAGATCATCACAACCTCTACTGAGTCACTGTAATCTAGAACCAGATGTCCAAGAACTAACGCTGTAGCCAATGTATTTTATGATGTAATACTCTATACTTTTACTGTAAAAGATAAATTATTTCTGCAGGAAGAAAAAGGTCCAGTAATAATATATTAATGTAGTGAAAGGAGCCATCACACAAGGATTTTCTATCAAAGAATGCTCCTCCTGATCGCATGCTAAAATAACTTCTGGCGAGTCCAGTTCTGGACAGACTGAGCTTGCAGAGTGAGCCACAGATATTTACCTCCTCTTCTTTCACCCAGCAATTTATCCTTTTTCAATAAACATTGAACTGTGCACCAGACTCTTTTCAGCTAAGTCTCAATATTCCAGATACACAAGCTTTTATGTCTAAGCAACAACCCAAATTGTGTGGAAGAGGTTGCTATCAGCTCTGGATCAAATTACAGCAGTCACTGAGGCCCCACCCCACTTCTCCTTTCGCACAGTCCATTAGACCTGAAAACAAATTTTTCCATGGTGCAGACAACTCCTGCATTTAGAACACTTCACAGAAAAAAGCAGATCATCCAGTGTGCACTCCCCATCCCCCAAGCTTAGTCCTTTCATCTCAGCCAAACAAGCCACAGCTCTGCTGAATGTGTTTATCACACTTTCAAGAGATATGAGCTCCTGCGTCACTGAAGCTCTAAGACTCACTAAGCTGCCCTAGTCCTCTGAGCTTTAGGGGCAGCCATTTTAGCTCAGAGCTTCTCCTCCGTGCACAACATGGCTTCTCCTGGATTCTGCTAGGCTAACAATCAGAAATGAATGCTAGAAGAGCAGGCTGGGCTCCTCCTATGCTCTTCTCTTCCCAACAAAGAATTAACTGTTTTCATTTCTCTTCGAAAAACAGCACCTTTCTCCTCCTCAAATGTCATTCACCAAGATCTCCAAAGGTTCTTTTATTCCATGATTGATATGCTGGTTTGTTAGTCCCAGCAGAGCCCTGGTCAGAGGAGGATGACCCTGGGCCAGATCCTGTTCTACACCAGGATTTAGGGGTGCAGCAGGGGGACCTCCAGAATGCCTTGACTTCTTGGAAGTCGTCCTTCCACACACAGAAGACATACCATCCGACTCTGCTTGCCAGATTCCAAAGTCTAATGACCTTTGTTAATCACCAGCCAGTCTGTCTGCATCAGCAGACCCTGCCAACAGACACACCCTTCAACACAAAGGCTGTAGCTATTCCTTTTAAAGGAGGTTCTCTGAAAGCTCCATTGTGTAGCAGAGAGGAAAACAAAATCTCTTCCCTTCAAAACTTCAAGCCTTTAGAAATAATGCAACAAAAGGCTTTCTGCTGTGTGTCTTTTGGAAAGTTTGAGCCTAATTTGCACAACATCAACAAAAGTTACGGCTCTGCAGAAGGAAAGCAGGGCACCTTCGGCATTAAGTCATTCACCTAGAGATGAAATTCATCTCTCTGTGTAGTTCTCTAATATCTTGGTGTCTTCTGAAGCTATTATCAAGGATGCTAACTGCACTGAACACAAACATAAACTAAGTCTCCTTGTTCTGCTACAAAGGAGATTAAAGGGTTATGAGATCAGAAAAAGAGCCACTGATTTGGAAAAAGAAGAGATGATGAAAGTGATTTCCTAATGGGTTCTAGCTTTCATGTTGTTGCAGCCTCTGCCTCAAAAATAGCTCAGAGCCTTAGAAGAGGTTAATCTCCAGGCCACTGAGAGAACCAGCATCAGGTAGAGCTGAATGGCCTTCAATTTCAGGTCTGCACCAAGTACTGAAAGGAGGATATAGCCTACTTTGAAAGCCATCTTGCCTTTGTGTACATATTTCTCCTGAAGACGCTGACAGAAGAAGAAAACAGAAGTTGCTGGCATGGCCCAATCAAAGAGAGAGAAACTTGATATGTTTATGAGATGGTACATGGGCACATGTGCAAAAAGTGACAGCAAGTGGAGGAGAAGGGAGTAGGGAAGGACAGAGACAAAAACACAATGGACATGAGGATGACCCATTCATGTTTTTGCAGCAGATGGTAATCCTCTAAGAAACCACAACCGAGAAAAAAAAAAGGCGAGAAATAAGCTCTGCATATCTATTTCATCAATCTCGAAGAGCAACAACCCTAAGAGGCTAACCTAGTCACTGATCTGCTATAAAATTATGATTTTAAGTTAAAAGCTTTGATCTCGTATCTACTTACTTCATTTAATAATACTATGATGATGAAATGAGCAATATTTTTTCTCACCAAAATCAGCAAAATCAAAAGTAAAAGAGGAAGTTTCTGAACTAACTAAAAAGAGTCTATTTCAAAAGGTCTTGAGATGAATCTGCAAATCGAACGAGCACCCTGTCTTCTACCCCAGATATATGTCCAGGTCCTTCAAGGTCAAATAGGCCTCAGATGCCTAGACTTTAAACACCACCCATCACGATCCCTGCAAGGTGAACACAGATTCATTCTACAGTAACTGGCACCTAATGTGACTGGTGCTCCTAACATGAAATCCCTTAGACTATCCTAATTAGTCACTGCCTTTAGTAGTACTTACTCGTTGCTGATTTGTTCAGTTTGCATTTATAGTTTGAGGATTTAAAAATGTGGGGTTTTGATGGGGAAACCCAAAATCCAATTGTTTATGTTTGACAAATTCTTGAAGATATAAAGAACATCCAGAGATGATGTCAAAGATTTGAAACATATATACAGAAATGAGAAAAAGTAAATTATGGACAAAGCCTGCTCATTTTCAATCTTAAGAACACCAATTTTAGTTTATACCACCTGCCCACCTACTTTCTGTGCTCAGAATTCCAGGGATCCATCATGCCTCAGTTTTCCCTCTTGTGAAGGAGGAAGGAGACAAACCACAGCTTCATCGTCCATCCTTCCAACTCACTGCTCAGACGTAACTGGAGCGGGCAGGTGTTGACATTGTGTAGCATTCTTCAGGCCCGCCACCATCACTTGGTCCAGGTCAGCTTGGCAAACACTGCTCTTTAGTTTGAGGGCCCAGGAGCATAAATGTGGTCCTCAAGTCAAAATCCCAGCTGTCTTCAGGAAGTGATCAAATTAAAAGGCATAGGCCTTGCCTGGATCTAACCTGTTCTCTGACTGAAGGACTGCAGCCCAGAAATAAAGCTGTGAAGCACCACAGCCATGTGATTCAGTAGCAACTAATTATAACCTTCAAAGCCTTTGAGAAATAGAACCAGAAACACCATAAGGTGCTTTTCCTCTGTCCACTCCAGAAACCTAGTTTCATTTATAAGACACTAAACTTCCCAGTTCTCCTCAATCATAATTCTAATAAAAGGCTCTCATTAGCACCTGTTGTTTGAACTTTTCTTAGTTTTCTTTCTTATGAATGGAAAAACCAATTATCCAAGGACAGGTAATAGAATACATAAATTCTGGAATAGTTCAGCTAGAAAAACAGAAAAATCAAGAAACTAAAGATTATTCTAAAAACTATATTTGCAGATCAGAAACTGTTGATATGCTGAGGTCAAAGAGTTGTGATGTGTATTGGGAAGTTAGTATTTTTAATTGCAAGCCCTAGGACCTTAAGATGAAAAATGATTTCTTTTTATAAAAAGGTACTAGTAAACTTGTAAATGTTGGGTTGCTATTCTTAGCAACAAGGGGAGTTCTGTATCACTACTAATCATTTACACTTGTTAAGGCTGAAGTGGAAGTACTAATAATTTAATAATCATTTAAAGCATCTTTCCAAAGAGTAATGAACTGAAAAGTTGAGGTGAAATCTCTTTCAGGAACAGTAGTTATGGAATCAAAACTACAAATGCAAATACAGAATGTCCAAATATATATATATGCACACACACATAATTATATATATAA